GTGGTTCACCAGTGGTGTAAGATGCGCAAGTGACATGCCGCGAGGAATAACTTGCGCTGAGAGGCCGAAATTGAGGATGGGAAACGAAGTTCGGTTGTCCTTAACGGTAACCACCGTGTTGGGGAGTGCAACATTGCGTGTCATGGCGACGTCAGAAATTGGGGCAGCAACATAATCACCATCGGGTACTGCAGGATATGGCGAGAGTTGGACTTGGACTGCGGCTTGCAGCGGATGTCTAAGGAAATCGACAGAGCGTAGACGAGGTGGGCTGGTAGAGACGGTCTCCGAAAAGGATGGTAGTTCGAGCCGAAGAAGACCTTTGGAACAGTCAATGAGCGCAGCGTGTGAAGTCAGAAAGTCGAGTCCAAGGATGAGGTAATGAGGGCAATTTTCCAATACAGCGAACAGAACTGAAGTTTGATGCTCAGAAATTGTTAATCGCACAGTGCACATTCCAAGCACAGCAGGAGTACTCCCATCCGCTGTACGAACGGTAGGTGCAATCGCAGGCGTCAGAACTTTTTGGAGGCGGCGGCGGAGGTCTGAGCTCATCACAGATATTTGTGCACCGGTATCAATAAGAGCAGTTATAGGTTACCATCAACGAGAATTGTAAGGAGGTTGCACCGCTGGTCGGGAGTAATCAGAGGATTTGCAGTCCAAGTCGTGTATGCAGCGTCACTTCCGGGGGCTGCACCGGCTAGTTTTCTGAGCGACGGCCGTAGGGAGACCGAGAACGGCGGGGTTGGGGCGAGCGGGACTGACGACGCACGGGCGATGGCGAGCGGCTTGTCCGACGTTCTGGATTATGCTCTGCACCTGTCTCAGCACGGTAGGACGGGGCATAAGGTGCACGTTCAGAGCGAGGCCGCCAATTATAGAAGCTCGGTCGAGGTGATGAGGTCCAACGGCTGCGGCAATGGCGAGCGATGTGTCCTATCCGATGGCACATGAAACATATGAGCCGATCATCATGAGGGCGCCATTCAGCTGGGTTTCGTCGTGGCGCGAACGTGCAGTTCGGAGTGGCAGCCGCAACGACTGGAGCCGAGCTGGAAATAGCAGGGGCATTTTGATGAGGTGGCGAAATGCCCATATTCGCGATCTCTTGGCGAACCACGGCCTGTATCATTGAAACAGCGTCGAGGTTGTGTCCTGGCGCGCTGACGCTAGACATAGCGGGAGCCATAGCCTCGAGTTCTCGACGGACTATTCTGGTGACGTTTTCTGGCGCTGGTGGTTGGTGTAGTGTGGGCAAATCTTCGCAAGAGGATGTAGCCGCCGTGTTGGGAAGGCGGTCAAATCGGTGAACTATCCGCTAACTTTTTGCCTGTTCGAAGCGACGACATGCTTCGATGACCGACTCCACCGTCGAGCAGTCCTTGCACAGGAGAAAATTGAAGGCGTCATCCACAATTCCTTTCAGGATGTGTCCGACTTTGTCCTCGTCGAGCATGTCCTTGTCGACCTTGCGGCACAAAGACAACACGTCCTGGATGTACGCGATGTACGGCTCTGTGGATGTCTGGGCACGAGTCGCAAGCTCTTTCTTTGCGGCCACTTGACGTCCGATGGGTTTCCCAAATAGCGCAATTTCTGTTTGCAGACGTCCCAGCTAGTCAACTCTTCTTGATGTGTCTCGTACCAGAGTTTTGCCGTGCCATGCAAGTAGAAGATGATGTTCGCCAACATAAGCGTCGGACCCCAATGGTTGCTGCTGCTGACGCGCTCATATTGAACCAGCCAGTCATCGACGTCTATGCCACTTGTGCCGTTGAATGGACCTGGGTCACGAGGTTGCACCACAACGATCGGCTGCGGGGCTGACGGATCTTGTTGACATTGTGTAGCCTGGTCAGTCATCGTGGTAGCTGCAATGCGCCGTCCGCTGCAAAGATCCAGCTCGTTGGGCTGTATAGCGAGTGGTACCCCGCACCTTCCACCAATGATGTTACGGGGAATAAAGTATACACTGGTGAGCAAATGTGTACTGGCGAATATACTGGCGAGCTAATGCGTACGACGCTGCTGCAGTCCGAGCACGTTCCCGTTCAGCACTTTGTCGTCGTCATCCTCAGGCATCTACTTAGCCTGTGACAATATAACCCCCGTTTGGCAATAGTACTACTACTTCTTATCTTTGAAAAGTTGCTGCCAGCCGCCCGAATGGCTATTATATAGATAGAAGGCTGCATACTGATGGCCGCACACGTCGCTCTTATCTAGGCGTGATTGGGCGCTTGAAAACATGGATAGTTTTGTGTGTGCAAGAGCCATTAGTATACAACTTCCATAGCTGCGCGCATTGAAGGTCTGCTATTTTTGGCCAAGTTACTGCACTCGGATATGCACATAAACACATACACGGATGTAGCGACTAAAAGGTATACCAGAACTGCAACGCCTTCTTGCAAGGAAGAAGAAAATCAATGTAAATGTGAACTCTACTCTCGTACAAAATTTCTTGTTATTGAATGGCTACAGAGCCGACTCACACGTATCTTCCCCACTGAATGTAGTTCACCATATTTTCTATGCGAGATATAAAAACTACTTTATTTTCTACGTGTAGCTTTTAGTGAGAGGATGCAGCCCACACCAATGAGCTATTTCCATTTATTTGGATTTATAAGTAGTCATTTCGCGTTTTTGCACGTGTGACAAAATCACGCCTTTTACATGTACCGCAAGCGCTAGGCAGCATCTGCATCGGTACGCAACTACGACTGCGCGCATGATTGATTTGATATGTGGGGTTTAACGTCCCAAAACCACTATATGATTATGAGAGACGCCGTAGTGGAGGGCTCTGGAAATTTAGACCACCTGGGGTTCTTTAACGTGCACCCAAATCTGAGCACACGGGCCTACAACATTTCCGCCTCCATCGGAAATGTAGCCCCCGCAGCCGCGATTGGAACCAGCGCCCTGCTGGTCAGCAGCCGAGTACCTTAGCCACTAGATTACCGCGGCGGGGCATACGACTGCGCGCAGCTATCACTGTCTGTGGCAGTAGGAAATGCGCCAAGCCGGACTACCTCACACAGGAACACACTTGCATAAGCTCCACTCCATATCTTTCTCTTCATTGTCAAGAAAAGTTGTCTCCAAGTATACGTATTAATATTAATGACCATCAGATAAGGTTGAACAAGAACAGTATATGTTTTGCTTCCTAAATGAATCGTAAAATCAGCACTGCAATTTTAGTAGGATTTTCTGCTGGTCTAGAAGCAGAACAAATAAGTGCACGACTTGGCGCAAAACAGCAAGGAATACAAAAGTCACGAGTTAGCTGTTGCGTTGCAACCTCACCATCACCATCTTGTCCAGAGTCGCGCGTTTTTATGTTCTGCTATCGGTACCTTATTGCTTGAACGTAGTAAAGGTTTCTTCAGGAGATGATTTGTATTTTTATTTGATAAGAGAAAGATTAACTATTAACGATAAGATTGGAAGATCCAAGTTTCTATCGCCAAATTTCATGCTTGAACTGCAATGGTGCGCGTTCATACTACGATGTTCATCCATATTCTCACTCTGGTATCTCGTTCCAAGCGCAGTTTAAGTTCATGTAATGACATCCACGTTAGGACAACACGAATTTTAAAGGGGCCTTGCAAAACTTCTCCGAGTAATCATGAATGGCCCCATTAAAGGAGTTTATAGCCTCGCATATTAACGGCCACAAAAATTTTCAGATTCCATCTAGTATGAGTGGTGTTAGCGAGGATTTGCCACATGCTGGTGAGCGCACACATGCGAGCGAGCGCGCTTAAAGCTATGAGTGTGTGTGTGTGGTGGGGGGGTGTACCGAATTAGTGAAATGGGGCAAGGAAGGTACATTGATTCCTCAGCACTTGTTGTGACCTTGTGGGATTCCTTTTCTCTTTTTTTTTCCTTGAGCGTGCCGCTTACCTTTAACGTAAAAGTGAGTGCAAGTGCACAAGCACGTGACGACATTCTGGAGCGGCCGCGTTAACTACGGATATACAGCACACGGATTCTTTAAATCCGCCAATGACCATACACATTTGGTTTATGACACCATCATTCGGTTTTATGGCATCATTGGTCGAGGAAATAAAAAGCGATTTCTAACTGACTTGAAAAATTAATTAAGAATTCCAGGCCGCGTGCTGCTCTATAATGTTGGCTCATGTGTTCTCAAGTGCCTCCGCTACCTACCAGTAGCGTTATCTGACCATGCTCAAGAAGTGTGGCAGGATCCCTTTAAAGGTGTTTTCATGTCATTAGCAATTTGGACAATACGCATGTTTGGGACAAGATGGAAGCTTGATGCGGTCAAATTTCAAATTTCATTAAACAAGGAATCGTTCACGGCAACAACCTTCTTTGTTCAGAACGTTTGACCTCGTGAAACTACTTAATATGTACTGATGGGCTAGTTGTTTATCCATAATCTTTTGACGAAGCAGTCCGCATTTTTGCAACTTCTTATTAGCACTACATGTTTTTAGATGCTTGTATAAATATTATTTTTGTAGCCTTTATCGTGGTCACTGCTGTCAGTGCACATGTGAGTGCACATAAGCTGGGTCATTCGAGAATACATCATCAGTAGCAGTACAGCACTTGTGTTTATGTCCTCTATGTGTGTGTGCTTTTGTTTCCTTGTGTGCGCTGCCTTATCAGAAGATTGTGAAATCAGGCTATTTTCGCTTGGAAAGAGCCGTCAGATTACCTAGCGTAGTGAAATGCAATACTTGTTTACTGATCAGCTGTTGACTATGTCATGACTGCACAGAGAGAGAGAACTCTTTATCGGAGCTTTTTGTTTTTGCACCTTTTCATACTTGCCTAGACTCTGTTTGCAGTAGGACATGTAATATTAATTACCAACCGAGCGTGCAACGAAAAATTACCAGTTCAGTTCAACTTGACATGTTGGTAATTATTGCATCGTTAGATAGCACTACTGCCACCATAACGACACTGTACTACGCAGAATTTGTCATCCTGCACACACTTGCCACTTACTTCATGAAGTCGGGTGCTTTCGAGATGGCATGTTCAAACTCGGCGAACGCTAGTAGCCTGTCTTCATCCAGATCGGCTTCCTTGAGTATCTGAAAAGGTGATGCAACAAAAAATGTGTCGTTAACCCTAAAGCACTGTCACTTTCTGACAATACATGTATTTGTATGTCGGCCCGTAGAAAAGAAGCAGCTCGTCTGTCCGAAACAAGATTGCTGTATCACCTCACTATCGATTTGATGGGATGTTAGCAGCAGATTATCAAATGATTGGCAGAACAAACCTTAGAAGGAAAATGCATAAATACATGGTCTCAAGACAAAGAATGAAGGGTATGGCAGCACTTGAAGCAAAAAAATAATTTTAGAAAAATTACAAGACATTCATTTGAATTGCGAGACAGAACATGGACATGTCTATTATTCTATAGTGCTCATGTTAAAACAAGGCCTGAAATATAAAGCTCAATATTATATTGATTTCATTTTACTTTATAAGTTACATTTTGGCATGTGTTGAACTGGTGTACATGGCTAGCGAAGATAACGTGTCTCTTTCAGGTAACTTATACGGGATGCCCTACGATCCTATGAAATGCTAGAACACACTATGCATGTTGGTGCAATCAAATATTCTGTAATAAAATGTTCGTCCTCGCCGCATGCCAAGGCACGAAGACACATCCCCTGTTTTGGCATTTGCCCAAGTTTCAACTAATAGCATGTGGCAAGGATGGACATGGACATTTTATTATAGCATGTGTACAAGATCACACCCCATCAGTCTTCACATCACATGCGTTCTAAAGATGAGAGCCTAACTCGGCCTCACTAGTTCAACACGGATATTAGAGTGTGTCATTAATGCTCCACACGTCTTTACATGATCAAAAGCTTCTTCTCTATAAAGCCCAAACAGTTTACGTTACAGACGATCGGTGAGCTCTACATTGAGGACCTACATGAAGTTTTGTACGTTGTTTGGAATGTGATACGGTTTACAGAATGGTCAAGATTCCATTTGCCACCCAATCTAGTGAAGATGTGGGCAAGCGTACGCGACACTGGGACGTAATCCACACAGTAATGTTTTCTAGTCCCTTCACAGATGAAGTGTAAGCCGAAAGCGCACACCGGTGTCAAGTCCAACGGCTGCCAATGGCCGTGGTTGCTGAGCCACTGTGGCAGGTGGCAATAACCATTAATAATCGACTCACATTTTCGACCAGCTGCTTGACTTCGTAGTCGGCGAAGACCTGCCCGCCACGCTGCGTCAGTCGGCCAATGACTTGCTTCAGGTCCTCGGTGGATATCATGTCATCTTCGTTGAAGTCTAATATGCATAGCCCAAATTCACAACCGCTGTCACCGGTACGCTGACTTTCCACAAGTGTCGTTTAAACATACAGACAAGGTAATACAGCATGCAGATCGATCATAGCAGGCTCAGAGCACGCACGAACCAGATATGCCCCTACGGCTGTGGCCGTCTCAGCTTTAGCACTATATTTATAGCGAACAATTTGTTGAATACTAAAGTAAAATAACACTGCAAAAATACCCCCTGGTTTTTTCTTCATTTTTTTTTTTTTTTTCATTTAAGCGGGTTGGAGGATGACGAGAGTTCAGCATAGCTGCAAAGTCCTGAACTGAGTTCCCTATCTTACACTTTATCTTTTTACCTCACCAAGCAACTACCGTGCATGTGTTCTAGTCTGACACTAGAACAAAATATTTTTAAAGTATGGTACATGTAAAAGTGGGAATTTTCAATCCTGGTTGTCACCATGTAATTTTATCAAGAACTATCGCCTCGAACATCCTTTGCGGCAGCAACAAGTGAAATATAGCGTAGGATTGGTTGATACAACTTGAATTCGTTTCTTATGATTATCCCAAAACATATACGTACATGCAATTCAGCACTAATTCTAAAGGGGCACTATTTCAAAGTATTCCAAGTTCCGTTGTTAAGTGTTACCATGTCATTGATGATTTCTGGCAACACCGCGAGATTTTTTTAGTACGAGTATTTTAAGCTTAATGGCAAGTTTTTCCATGGCCTCAAGACTACCATCCAATCATTTCATACATAGGTGACTTTGTTTTCTCTCTTCTGAATACTTTGGTTGGCTTTAATTTTCTTTCCTTTGAACCAGCTGCCACCATGACATAAGCAAAATAGATACATGAACAATCTCCCATGTGGGCGAGAAAGCGGCTTGTTTGGCAATCCACGGGATTCTGAAAACATCTACGCGTTAGCAACACAGATAAAAAGAATGGAGGGTTTTGTTTTTGTTTTGTATATTTTCACGAAGATCTACGACTAGCAACTCTTAAATCACGCACCGAATATCTGGAAGGCGTATTCGGTCTTCACACTCCGTGGCGCTTTGTCGCTGAACACCGACATCATGTCCAAAAAGTCCTCAAATGTCATGTGACCATCGTTGCTAGATGAGAAGACCTTGCATATCCGGTCTCGGAACGGATTCACTCCGAGCTCGGGCATGTTGAGGATCTTGTCCATTGGCAGTTTGGCGTTTCGGTCCTTGGACACCACATCTGGGGCCAACTGTTTGAACCTCTCGTAAGCTCTGCATAAGAGTGTTAGAAAAGTGGACCAAGTTCAAAATGATAGCTAAAATGACGCTCAAAAGGAAGAAATTTGTTCTCTTAGCTGTGTTTTTAACCTCACACGTACATTGCAGAGGACCTGGTTATTCAAAACACTGTATGATTTCTAATCGACTTGAGCAAATTTAAAATAGTGTTCATACTAAGGAAACACCTTAAACCTTAAGTCGTCAATTCGAGCCGTGATGTGGCAAATGACCTTGTTGGCTATATTCACATGCGCATATCTACCCTGTGCTTGCCAATACCTTCTCTGGCAAAGTCAAAAAGGTATGACTGTTACATTCAATTTTTGCGGTTTAGGTGAACTCTTTGGCAGAGGATCATACCTATGGTATGTACTTTTTCGGGTGATGCAAAATAGAACCCCCCCCCCAAGACTTTCTTTAAAAAATTCAGTGTTTGGGTCATGGAGCACATTGTAGCATTACCGTGGTACAGGTTGCCACAATAAGCATTTCCAATTGTGCTCATTCACAGCCATGTACACCCATCACTACTCACATTTCCAATCACATTCCCTTATATTCACGCGTGCCGTTTACATTATTTGGGGAAAAGAAAAGGAGCTTCAAGGGAATATATTCTAATTTTTACTCAATTGCTTTTCTAGTACAGCTTTACAATATACTTATCGCACATTTTGTTTAATTGGCACTTGAGCTTATCAATGACAATTAAGATTAATTCATCAACATCAGACAATGACAAAATTAAAGGTTAATAGCTCTGATTTAACTCTTTCTTCTGTGCGAAAGAATAAAAGAAAGAAAGCACAGGTGCATAACACTGCTCGATGATCCGCAAGCTATTAAAGTTACATTTTGAGGCACATTACGGTGAACGAATCTGCCATCAGCTTACTTCAAGAAATAAATTTTATTTCTTCCACTTTAAGGAGCCAAAACAAAGATATATGCTTCTGAACACGCCTTATCGCAGACGATTTTTTTTTTAATTCTTCGCGACGTGAATTTATAGCGCAGCGAAATCACACTTGCGGCGTTAACGCATCGAGATGTGAAGCCAGTACGCCGGCGCAAACTGGCGCGGGGATGGAAACACAACGGGCAATGAGCCTCGAGGTCAAATACGCACACCCCCCGTCGAAGCGCTACGAAGAGCGCCGACGACATTCCACCCGTTTTCCGGGTCGCACCGCAGGAGCCCTCATATCGTACGTAAAAATGTAGAAGAACGTAACAACCGGGAAAGATAGCCGCCGTCAGTCACTTACACGATTATCTCGCTCTTCGTGAAGAAAGTCAGCTCCTGCAGGAAAAAAACGAAAGATAAGAATACGCATATCTAGAGGGTCTGCTAAAATAGGGGCTACGCTGGCAATGATCTTACCTTTCGCACTATGGGTGCGAGATAAAGGACCTCACCTGATAATCGTCGAGCTCTTCCTCCGTGAAAATGCTGTGTTGCTGGCCCATGATAAAAAAAAAAAGTTGTTCAAACGACGCCGAGTGGGTGAAGTGAAAGCACTGCGCCTTTAGAGCGACCGGACGCGATAGGAAAGAGCAACCGTAAAAACCCGTCGTTGCCAAAGGAGTGTCGTCGGTGTCGTCTTGGCATGCGACCAGCGCTTGCCAGGTTACTACTACGTCAGGAGCTCTCGCGAACGACGCAACGTGAGGGCGTAGATGAGGATGACCCGCCGAGGCATGGAGCGAAAGATGCATCAATAGCACACTTCATCCCCACGCTGTCTACGAAATCGCGTTATGTAAACCAAAACAAAGCGCACATCGCGGACTCTGTCATCTATCTGGCCGCGCGGTGATTCAGCCACAGGCCGGCTCCCTCCCGCGCTCTCATTTCGCTCGCTTCACCTTACATTTTGTGTTTGTTTTGTTGCTCGTTTCTTGTCGCGTTGTGTGTGTCGGGAGCTGACGTACCCGACAGCTGATTGAAGGATCGTGTTTGCCGCTCTGTATCGCTTTTATATGTCTATTTTTACTGTTACTGACGCGTCGCGAAGTGGCCCAGATTTCTTTTTGCGACAGGTTGCGCTCCTGCGCAATCTCCGCTATAGTCTAAATACACAATTCTGAGTCGCGCAGCAACAACCAAACCACTAACAAATTTTTGCCAATTAAGTTTACTTTAACAAATTGTCGCGTCATCTAGTGACGTTTTTATAAGCATATTATTATAAAATAATGTAACGTTTACGCGTTAATAGTTTTTTCAAATTTTAGTAGGTGTCACTACTAACTTTTAATTTGCATAAAACTAAGATGCAGTAGTCGACTTTATAAGTCTACTCTTGTTTAGAGTGTAGCAAGTAAAAGTACTCAAGACACTCAGTTTTTCTTGTTCGCTCACCGCAACCTGGTCGCCCGTAGTGACACCGACATCATCAGAGATATATATTTTTCATTTCCTTTGCGCACACCGTGAGAGAGGTTTAGGTTTTGTGCTCGTTGTCTTTTGAGGTTGTCGACCGCACGGACAAGAAAAGTGAAGAAACCGAGCGAGTCGCGGCGTAAGTGCGGGTTCCGATCGTCGACGCCGCTGCCACGCGACCGCGCCATGCCTGCGCTAGTCGAGCGTCCGAAGATGAGCATCGCCATGTGGGCCGCGCTCAAGAACCACATAATGCGACAGCGCGAAAAGAAGAAGCAAGAACAGGAGGCCGACGCCGCCACGGAGCGCGTGAGACGCGAACGCGAGCTCAAGCGTCGCCAGGACGCGATGACGCTCGAAGAGATCCGCGATCAGGTGCAGCAGTCCGAGAAGAAGCTGGTCACGCTGAAGGAGGAGAAACACCAGCTCTTCATGCAGCTCAAGAAGGTACTGCACGAAGACGACACCCGGAAACGGGCCTTGGTGAAGGAGGCCAACGAGATGGCAGCGCTCAACCACTCGTACCTACAACAGCAACACAACGCCGCCATGCACCAGCACGCCGCTGCCGCTGCGGCCGCAGCCGCCGCCGCGATTCCGCAGCACCTCTACATACAGGACATTAACCGCGCTCACTCCATGTACAAGCTGGCGCAACCCATCCCGCAGAACCCGAGCGTCCTGCATCGTGCGCCACTCAAGAGGCCGCTGACGCCGTCCCCTCCTCCGTCGTCGCAAGCCGCGACATCGTCGACCTCTTCGTCCCAGCAGGCGACTCCGCCCCAGTCGGGCTTCTCGCCCCAGCAGCCGTACGCCTACAAGGCCCAGATGCCGGGCTCGGCGGCGTACGGGGCGCCCAAGCTGATCCCGGCGTACGCGCCGGGCCACGGTCCCATCTACTACGCGCACGTCCCAGGTCAGGGGTCGGTGCCAGCGGCCATGGCTCCCGCGGCACCGGTGCCCTATCCGGCCTACCCGACACCCCAGTTCCCTCACCATCACGCCGAGTCGGCGGCTGCTGCCGCAGCCGCGGCAGCGGCTGTTGCCAAGCAGCAGCAGATGGTTGCCACCCACAACTTCCACCTCGCTCAACAGCAACAGCAAGCCGCCGCCGCAGCTCAGCAACAACAGCAGCAGCAGCAGGCAGCTGCCGCAGCGCAACAGCAGCAGCATCAACAAGCAGCCGCTGCTGCTGCGGCGGCAGCGGCCGCTGCCGGATACCCTGGGGCACCCGTGGTTCCCCAGGCCCTGGAGCCGCCGCACGGCTTGCAGAAGCCTCGCTTCCACGACTGAGAAGTTTTACGTTTCCCAGCCATCTATGCTGCCCATGCGGACACTGGCCTCGCCGGCAGCCCAGTCGGCCGCCATGGCATTAGCCAGTCCGCAGCCGAAACCCTCGTCGTACCTGACAGCTGCGCAGCAGCACCAGATGGCAGCAGCTGCTGCGGCTGCGCAAAGGCACCCGGGGTATCCGGGTCAACCAACGCGATTTTACTAAGGTTAACTAAATCTAGTGGTCGGTCTGTGAAGGTAGGGGTAGCCGCTGGCTAGTACGCAAGAAGTCTTCAGATGCTGCTGTGGTGCGCACAAGGAGTAATACCCATAAGCATTGAAACATGCTCGGTCAGGCAGTCTGTACACTACTGCTAATGAGAGCACCACATTGCTGTCACATTTGCGCACTGTCTGAAGTGTTGGCATACAACATTTGTTAAAGTTTAAGTGCGACTTCGGCTCACAACTATAAGTTGGAGGAACTAGCAGACACACGGAAGTGTAGGAAACTACTCTTTCTTGTTCGATATTTGCGTAGAGGTTATGTTATTAGCACAAGAACAGCTGGAACAGCATTAGTTGGGCGCAGCCAATTGCTGCGTTGCCAGTTTTTTTGCCTTGCAAGGGCTCGAAGCAACCATTGCAAGTCTAACTTAAGACCAGCATGGCTGAAACGGTGATTCTACCTGAGGCGTCTTGCATATGTATAACTCTCAGTGCATTGTCCAAGAGAGAAAACAGTCAAAACACACTTTCGGTTTCATTCTTTATTTACAATGCACAATGAATCGCTTACTGTTGCAAGTTCTGCAACTAACTGTACGGTTTGCGAAAAAGCTGTGCAAGACCTGTTAAAATGGACATTTTGACAGCATGCAGTAGACATGTGACATATGAGGACAATACAAATAAGCACAAATAATCTTCCGCACACGTTTACACGTTTACTACAGCCCTTGAGAGAGTTTGGCCTTGGGGACTGAGCTCAGCCATTCCTTTGTACAACTTGACTTCGTTCCTGTTCAATCGGCCCATTAGTATTAATTCTTATCTGTTAATGGCTATGCATGATATGTAGAATATTTTTTCATGCAGGCTAGCTTATTTGCAAGCTTGACGGATGTTGCATGTTGTATACAGCTGAGCCACCACACTTAAACATCATACATGCTCTAATTTGATTGATTTGCGGGGTTTAACGTCCCAAAACCACCATATGATTATGAGAGATGTCGTAGTGGAGGGCTCCGGAAATTTTGACCACCTGGGGTTTTTAACGTGCACCCAAATCTGAGTACACTGGCCTACAACATTTCCGCCTCCATCGGAAATGCAGCCGCCACAGCCGGGATTTGATCCCGCGACCTGCGGGTCAGCAGTCGAGTACCTTAGCCACTAGACCACCGTGGCGGGGCGTATACATGCTCTAAAGCTAGATGAACGTGTACATAGTCTAGTACATTTTTACAGACTATCTGCGCAGAATTACGAAGCTGTTAGTAGTTGAAAGGCGCAGGCATGTAAATAGAAAACTTTCTGCCACTTGAGTTACGTTTAACTGGTTTTCAGCTTAGCGGGTTTTACAATGTTTTCGTATTGCGCAAGAAGGCTTGATTTTTGCATGCGTGCAAAGAGACTGTGATTGTTTGCCGTCGTGCATGGTTTTAGAGGTAGAGTCGAGCCCGAAAGCATTCGTGTGCTCGCATAGCATATTAGCGCTACGATAGATCAGTTACGTGCACTCGTGCCGTGATGTGACTGGGTGATTGCACCCGAATCTCGGATATGCGTTTTGTTTTGTATCTTGGAAGCGCATGGGCTTACAAAGCAAGGGTTGCGTCATTGTTATGGAACACCATGTGTGGCGGTTGGCATAGCAGTTGTGTAATTGAACGAACTCGCCGAAAATCTTCCGGCATCTTCAACGAACCCCACCAAAGAACTTCAGGCGCGATGATTAAACGAAACAGCATGCCAAGTCACCTAGATGTGGTTTGCTGAGGATGCCACTATCTCATTGTGACGTGTTGCCTGTTCAGAGCGTGGCATCACTTCACGTTCGAAATTGCTTCGTAATCATTCTAACAATCTTCTGTATCGCGCAGCTCTCTAAGCTTTGTCTATGAGAGTTTGCCGGAAAAAATTTTCACCATGCTGGATGCCCCAACAGTACTCTTGCCCAACAGGATAACTGTAGATTCCAGGCATGGCAATGTGTGTATTGGGCCACTTGATTAATATTTGCATGTTCCCTTTATCTATTAGGTCTTTCTATAAGGTTCACCGACAAATGGAACAAAATTACTTTTTTTGTTGTTGTTGTGCTGTGGCAATGTAGCTTTTACAATAGTATCCCTGCTGCCCCTTAGGCAAAGTTTTACTTCTGATTTCAAGTTTGTAAGAGCTACTTGACATTTTCCGTTGATGTAGTGGCTGTTGTGATATACTTCAATACACTATTCTTGCCCTCCCTTTGTATTTCTGTTTATATTGATGGTGGGTATTGCACAAGGTTGTCCATTGTGTGAACACACATTTCGCTAGTATTAATGGTTCTTTTAAACATTCTACTCATGGGATTTTATGTGTTTTGATAGTGTCAATAATGTTTCAATACGTGTTGTTTTTCTGTGTACCACCAGTATATAGAATCGGCACTAATTATGTGTTTTACTCATTGGGCTCTGGCTTTATTCATGAAGTAAATGGATTGTACTTGTAATGGTTTTCTTGCTTTAATCCTGTGTTTCTTGTTTACAGAGTTTCATCTAGTATAACAAGTTCAATGTCTTAACGAGCTGTTATCAGCAGAAAAGCTTTTGCGGCATATTTTTCTGCGTTAAAATGTGTCTCTCTAAGCAGAAAGCTTCATATGTCCTGTGCGGGGTTGGAGTTGCACCTCACAGCAAAAATCCATCAGCTAATGTTTCTAGTACTGCACTGAACAAGCACCTTTTTCTACCATGATTTCGGATTAATACCGCTTCCTTTTACGTTTACTGTTCTTACTAGTGCAAAAGTGGCATGGCAACTCCTTTTACTTTTTTTGAGCGCGTTTTCAAGTTCTCGCACAATGAATGCACATATCACTTCATTAGTGTTCTCTGTTTTATGCACTCCCACACAAAGCTCAGTCTTCGGCCGAATGGTTCGGCACTTCCAAGTCTTCATTCACTTTTTCTGGGCTGGAAAAGTTATGGCGTTTGACATCTATTGAGCAGTATCACTACTTGGTCGAACTCTTGTGTTTCTTGCGAGCTGCACTTTTTCTGCCTACTGATAGAATTTCACAACCGTTCAAGGGCTTTTATGAATTTTTATGAAGCAAAAGAATAAAAAAACAAGTAAAGGTAAAAAAACATTTCTCATCTGCTATGAGTTCACCAAAATGAATAGACGGTCACACTACCTGAGCTTGCTCTGTGGCGCTTCACTGACAGTGTGCGCTGCTGCTGTGTGGTGGAACAAAACTTCTGTTAGAGTTTCAATGAAGTTGGCACACCTTGGTACTTTTCCATGAGTTGTTAAGGTGGATGATGAAGTTCTGAGCTTTGATTACGTGGAAGCTTGCGTTGTGGGCTCACAATGGGCTGTTATCAAGTTTACAGGCGGTACTGCTAGCACAGTTCGTCCCGCATACTGAAAGTGCTGTGATAAAAACTTGTAACTAAGACACTTTGTTATTTTTTGGAAGTCGCAGCGATAGAAAGTGGCACATTTGGTACACCTGCATCGAATGCTTCTTTGCGATCGATAGCGTGCGACTTCCACCACGATCTCCCATGCTGCTGAGCTGTCCGGCCCTTCTGTTCAGGTTCTCTTTCCTCCGTGTTTCCTGCCTCCACAGCTTGTGCATGTAGTTGACGTACAAAGTGGCACAGGCTCATCCGCTAGCTTCTGGGTCTTCTGTGAGATCTATGGTCGTGGATGTAGGTGTTTGCAGAGTTCTCCATAAAGGGAAGCCAAGTTTCATCTTCCTTTCTCCCAGTGTGCAAGTCCGAAAAAAAAAAAGCTTCGAAGTTGATGAATCAAAATGAAGCGATGATGCCCTTCTCACGAGGACCTGCCTTTGGTACCAAGCTTTTTGAAGATAAGTTTGGAGGCAAGCAGTTATTGGAGCACAACGTCACGGGTAACCGACCACCATTACTGTCAAAAACTTGTGTGGCCGTAATGCTGCCGATTGATGAGACAGATTTGACTGCCCAACCACCCATAAAAAATCTGTCCCTCCTGAGCACATGCCTACGAACACGAATTGCTCGGTTGCCCATGTTAAAATGAAAGCTTTTATTGGGTACCCAGAATTCATTCTTATCCTGTCATGCTTAGCGGTGGTTTCGTTTTTTTTTTTCTGCTGCTAAAGATTGACATGTCACTGAGCACTTTTGGAAACTGAGGTCAATGAGCTGTGAGCACACCACATCCGACAAAATGCTACCCAATTTCTCACCTGTAACTGATTGTGACATTGTTGGTAGAAAGGATGCATACTTGTAATTTCAACCATGGGGTGAGGGGGGGCAGGTGCAGCACACAAGGTTCATGGGCAGTTTGCAGCAAAACTAGCGTCTTGTTGAGGTCAGTGTGTTTAGCTGTAGTCTGGCATTGAAACAAAGTTTATCCAAAAATACAAGTTGAAGAAGCATTAATGTTTGCATTGCCAACCAACTAATAACAATGAAAAGTGATCATAATTGCAGTGAGCAGTCCTATCATTTTGTGGAGGTGTAGTGCCTAACATGGTTCAAGCAGCGTGACATGGTTTCTGCAGTCATAACAGCATGAACATAAGCCTCATGCATCCTTTGAGTCATTGTATGATTGATGAAGCAGCGCAGCCTTTTTTTTTTGCTGTGACCGTCTTTTGAAGATGTCTTGTGATCAACCATTAATCGGAAGTTATTTAGAAATTTAAAAAATGCCCATACATTTTGCACCTACCTGATGGCATTAGAAAGTTTCATATGCAAGCAGTGTTGACAGTCTATAAGCTTTGGTCGCACATACCGTCACATAAAAATTGAAGCTACCGCAAAATTTCAGTTAAGCCAACTTCCGAGCTGATAGAACCGCAAATCGATAATTCTTCTGGCTCTCAAATTTAGAGCCAAATGGGTATAAGTAAATGATCTAAAAGACGCCCTAAAATCCGATTTCAATTTAAAAGTTTATTGCTCAGATAACGAGCAATGCCCTGTCAGAATGCTGGTCTTCGTCGCGTCTCTGGAAAGTGAGGATTCTCACAAGCCACATTGATCACATTTCATTTTTAGACTGTTTGGCCGAGTGTTGACTGTATATTGTGTGTGCCTAAATTTGTTTGTTTCACTTGCCTTCGATGAAGAAGTTGCATCATTCATGTCCAATATTTGATGTTAATGTTTGCTGCACACCATGCTTGGTGGAAGGTTTGTAACCACATCTGTGGGCATAGAGATCAGTGTTTAGTGGCTGTGCTCTTCAGTAAGGCGCAAGATTCTTTGGGCTGCATCTCTTTATAGAAAGTAACCTCATATTGAGAGCTAATGTTCGATATGAAAAAAAAATGTTGGTTTTTATGCTTGTGGCTGCCCATGCAAGCACAGTGTCGGTAGTAAAAGGCTCACCTGCGCAACCAGCGCCCTACCACTTACGTCGCACCCTGGACTGGGCCGTGTACACATTCCTGGGTTTTCTTAAAGAGCCAGCAAACGGGCTCCAACCTTTTCTTTGCACCCCTTGAACAAGCTCACGTACAATAGACCGCGGCGATCACATTTTTCAAATATTACCGCACTGCACTCCATGGAGACCCTCGATTTCGAAAAATGATTCCCGTGCCCGACCGATCCCCCTCATACGAGCAGTGACGCAAGCATGCCCAGGGGCAGCTCGATTAACCACTAGCTCGTCGATTGGTCCTTTCTCCTACGAAAC